CAAAAAGCAATAGTGCATGATTCTCCAATCTCTACATCATCCCAAAAATGTAAGGGAAGGAACCAGTATCCCCCAGCAAATGGTAAATTTAAAAGAATAAATGCAACCTCACTTTTCTCATCACCAGGAAAAAGAAGTTACAATTTGGCCAATATGCTAACAACTACACTGGCAAATCACGCTCAAGCTTTTTATAAATAGATTTCAATGTACTTGAGAAACTACCTATTCTATGAACCAAACGCTAACTAAAGAATTTAACAGTTTGGAAACATCTTTTTACATGACATATGAACACCAAATATCCAATAATGGAATATTGAGCTCACATGTATTCATTTCCAGCTATCCTGCGCTCAGCTTCTCTGACACAATCAAGAACCACAGGCCTTCCATTGTCATCACGATAGGCACCCTTCATAAATACAAGAAAGCGAAAATATGGATCATAGAACGATCAAATCTATAACACATGTCGCCAAAATCAAGGATACCTATTTATTAAAATGTCAATGTATAAGTAGCTCAATCTCTATTCCAATTCTCAATGTGTCAAAAATGTGAAGATATACTTAGTCCAACTAAACTCTCAGATAAAAAACAACTCCCCTGTCTGTGTTTCCCTTTTCTCACCATGAGCTATATTTCAGAAGTTAAACGATATAAAAAATTCGAAAGAGGAAGGAAAGGCTAAAACGAAGGATGCAGATCGGGTTGACTGTTTTTCATAGTAGTTTCAAAATTTCTCTGTGATTGAATAAAATAGCAATAGTAATATTTTACAAAGAAGATAAGAATATAACAGGAAAAAGAAAACACAACTTTCGTTCCTATGAATCACGAGCGTGAAGCTAATATGTATCGTTTTTGTTTCACCTATTCCATCTTTCTCGATTAAAAATCAAGCTGGTATATATCGTTTTGATTTCAACCACTCCATCCTTCTCATAAAAAATCTCACACATCGATGCAAGGACAGAATTAAATCCACCAAACCGACTGTTGCTACCAAATGCACGGTACAGATCATTAGTTAATTAGTTGACTAAGATTGATATAACAGCTAAGAAAACAAGTCAGGTGATGAAGAGAGTGAAAAAGAAGGATTATAATAATTTTGTCCCGTTGTTCGATAGTTCGCAATATTTATAACAAGATAGGCCAGTAAATCAACCAGCAACGGAAAGAGCAAAACGTCAGAGAACTCACAACTCCAACATTGACTTTGTTTGGACTCTGATCCGCGAGGAAAGCTTCGGTAACTCCGAGAATCGGATCCTTGGGAGCAGGTTCGATGGTTCGCCACCATGAAGACATAAATCTGGCTCCGATCACAGAGCTCCGGGCAAAGATTCGGCTTGAGACGACGCTGTGAATCGGCATGATTCGCTATGTACAGAGCTAGCTGCTAAAGAAACAGGCGTCGGAGACTTCGAGGAGACTAAGATGGAACAGAAGAGAAAAACAAGTGGCGAAGTGAAGATACAGCTAAGCCGGGAAGAAGCAAATCGGGATCGGTTTTCTGCGCCAAGCAGCCTCGAAATGCGTGAACGTCTCCAAAGTCTATTTGAGTCGCTCATAGTAAAATTAATACTCCTCCGGTCCTAATTATAAGACCCAATGGACTTATTTGAAGAGATTAAGGAAGTAAGTTAAGTTGGTTATTTATAATAAATAAGTGTTGTCATTCGTAAAATATCCTTGCTAATTAAGTATATTGGTTAAAACTATCATTATTAGAAGGATTATCTTGGAAAAAAATACATAAATATAAGAGACAAAATGGATTGGGGTCTTATAATTAGGACCAAATAAAAAATCAAATGGGGTCTTATAATAAGGACCGGAGGAGTAATATATATATGTGTGTGTGTCGCCTTTTTTGCCTGGAAGAAAAAAGGTGAAATTGTAAAAAAAAGACCTTGAAATTGTAAAAATACAGATAGGGACCCTTGACAACTTTACTTTGGGTTTTGAAAACCCAAAGTAAAGTTGTCAAGGGTCCCTATCTGTGTTTTTACAATTTCAAAGTCTTTTTTTACAATTTTTCCAAAAAAAAAACTATTATCGATCTCCTGAGGCTCTGTTTGGTTGATAGTTGTTGGAGGGAGGGGAGGGGATAAAATTAGTATGTTTGGTTGGGAAAAATAGAGGAGAGGATGGGAGAGAAATTTGTTTTTTAGTACTCTCCTCCTTTTTTTTTTGCTCCTCTCCAAATTTGGAGTGTTTTGGAGGGAAAAGAAATATTATGTCTAATATTGACTAAACTACTCATGCTAACTTTTCTATATTCCAAATTTGCTCTTCTTATTAGAAGCTCTTTTCTCACTTCTCTCTTTTTAGCCACTAATGATATTTGATAATGTAATATTTCTATCATGGCAGTAATTTTTTTCGTAATATAATATGATAAATATACATTAATAGAGGATAGTGTATTATAATTATATAATATATACATATCATATATATTAATACACATGCATGTGTATTATAATTATAAAATTAATAAGATAGAATGTTAAACTTTTTATCATATTTTTTATCACATGTAATTGAGGTAATTAGTTTTTTGAAATTAATAAATTAAAAAATAATAATTTTGATATGAATATTGTAATAAAAAACTAAAGTAGTCTAAATATAAAGATAAAGATATACTACCTCCGGTCCTAATTATAAGACCCAGTTGACTTATTTGGAGAGATTAAGGAAGTAAGTTAAGTTAGTTATTTGTAATAAATAAGTGTTGTCATTCCTAAAATATCCTTGCTAATTAAGTGTATTGGCTAGAACTATCATTATTAGAAGGATTATTTTGAAAAAAATGCATAAATATGAGAGACAAAATGGATTGGGGTCTTATAATTAGGACCAAACAAAAAGTCAAACGGAGTCTTATAATAAGGACCGGAGGTAGTATTTGTTAATTTATAATTATCTCCCCTTCCCTCCTCTTATGATCCAAATAAGAAATCTTTCCTCCCTTTTCCTCCTCTTATGATCCAACCAAATAAAACCCATGACCTTCCTTTCTCTCTTCCCCCTTCTTTTAACCTCCCCTCCCCTCCACTGAACCAAACAAAGCCTTAACTTTTCATGCAGCGGAAATGCTTATGCGAGTTTACTTTGGCTTTACAGCCGGATTAATTAAACAATTTACATGGTAGTATGTCAATCTGTTTGCCATATCAAGGTCAAAAAAAAACTGGTTCCCATGTTATTGCATAATGTCAGTATGTCAATTGAAAAAGGGGTTAAGTGAAATCCCAAATCCTAATATTCTTTATTATTCTCCTAGATTTTTTAACTGGCCCCTCAAAAAGACACCGCTTAATTGTTTAGTATTATTTGCTCAGTAAACTAATTAAAATTGATTCAATATATTGAGATAAGACTGTTATACTTTAACATTATTCTCCTGGATTGAGACTTGGGCAGTTAATGTACTGTAAGTAACGAACATTCACCCGTGGGTTTCCTTTCACAAAAAATTAAACGTGGATGGTATTTCTGTCCACCTATAAACTTTTCGTGTCTTTTTTACACAGCCACACACGTAAGAAGGCTTCGTGTTTGCGTTTTTCCAAATTGCAATGAGAAGACAGTGACATGTTCTTTCATAACATAAAAGGGATAAGAGGGTAGCCTAATAAAAACAGTCACGTTTGGACGCTGGTGAATTTCATGGAATAAAGGCGGCAGATAAGGCGGTCCTCCCAAACCGAAAAAGAAATGAAGGATGGTAAGGGCACGTGGAATAAAGACGGCGGAACGGAATAAAATTAGTGGCTGAAAAGTTGATGGGAAAGAAAACCAAAAGTCCAAAACAACGGGTCCGTGCTCCAGTCTAGTTTGTAGCTTCCCCACTTGGAGCTAGCGCTTTATGTTGGGCCTTAGCCCCATTTGAAAATTTTTGGAGAAGAAAATGAAATATGTTTTTTGGAGGGGCCGGGGGGGGGGGGGCGGGAGACACTCGCGAGAGGTCTTATTGGTGAAAATAACCTGGTAAATTTTTATACAAATAAAGTATTAATATTTATAAATTTTAAACAAATTATATTACATTTGTTATAATTAATCATTTTATATTACAATTGTTATAATTAATCAATTTATTTAATTTTTTAAACCTACACAAATTAATTAAGTAGCTCTTATATGAGAAAAATGAAGAGAATAATTGACATGTTCTCAAACCCACAATAAGCACAAATTTCTGAATCTGAGTGTCCATTACGATGGCGACCCCATCTGCTTATTGAGAATAAAAATAGTCTGCTGATGAAGGAGTGAAGAGGCAGAAAAGTTATATAAACCAATCGGGTTATTTGCCATTGAAGCATCCCAATCTTCACAAACCAATTATCATTATTGATAAATTTTTAGTAATGGCATCCATAGGCAGAAAACAAGTTCTATCTCTTGTTCATTCTCACTTTTTTGGACTTCTCATCGTGTAATGCCGCAAACTACAAGAAGCTGAATTATCAGAAAAAGTTAAGAGCAGTGGTTGAAGAAGCACAGCGAAAAATGTATGAGAATGCTGCAGAAAAGGAGAATCGTTTCAAGATATTTAAGGACAATGTGGAGTTCACTGAATCATTTAATGCTGCTGAGAATAAAACATACTAGCTCGGCATCAATCACTTGGCTGACCAAACAAATAAAGAAGTTAAGGCTTCTCGCAATGGAATCAACAAGAAATCCCACGAGCTGAAGACAACATCGTCAACAATATCATCATTTTAAGTACGAAAATGTCACTGATATTCCCACTTCCGTGGACTTGAGACAAAAAGGAGCTGTTACTTCAATCAAGGATCAAGGTCACTGTGGTGAGTTACTTTATCCGATATTGCTTTTAGTTTGGAAACTATCGCCCTCGCAAAGACTAGGCTACAAAAAAGGCAAAGAACTTGTACAAATCTGACAGTAATTACTTACGACTGAGTCTCAAATATTATCTAGTTTGTGTTATAACTCTCATTTTACTGAGCTCAACCGCCCATTTCGAGAGCTTGTTCCATGGCTCCAAAAATTGACAGAAGCTCGGCTGCAATTAGGTGGTCATTGGGTCCCAGCATGGCAATATCGTCGTTGAAGGATGAAGCGTGCTCATTCATCTCCTCACAAATCACAAATCTACAAACAGGGCACTGGCCTTTGCTTCTTAGCCATGGAACAATACAATCCTCATGAAACACATGTTTGCATGGTGTGAGCATCACTTCCTCACGAGGTTCAAAATCTTCCAAGCAAATAGCACACCTCTTGCGACGTTCTTGCTTTTCCCTATCTCTCTCTTTTAAAGCATTCGCAACACTGTCTTTATAACACAGACTCACTCTCTTCGGTAAAATCTTCGGGGGCTCGTATATTTCTTTCTTAAGCTTGCTCAAAACTGCTGAATTGGGATTTTCTGCGGTTCTTGGAGGCGACTGCTGGACAATCTCCCCGAACACGGGTTCAACCCCCTTCTCATGCCTCCATTGGATCCATTCATTTGTTGTCTGAGATGTGGTTGTGCTGGAAAACTGCAGAGAGTTCCAAAAAGAGTAAATCAGCCAGGGTATTTTCCCACATGAAAAACCAGAAGTCCACGCAGCTAAATAGTAAATCCTTGTCCTGGCAGGGAAAAATACCAAGAGTTTGGGTGATCTAAAGTGAAATGCAAAGGGAAATCCAAGCGAATGGTTGAATCCCTATTAGTTGGTTCATACAGAGAACGCTCTTTTACACGTAGAATGACCTATTCTGTTCTATACACGTGATCATGGGCATAAATATTCAGGCATTAGCATTGAAAATGAGCTTTGATAGTTTGTGAAGTTGTGATTACCTGGGTGTGCGATTGAGTCCTGAAAGTGTTCTGTCTCCCATCAACCTTGGGGTATCTTGCACGCCTAAAATCCTGTAATCCTGGTAATATAATCCAAATAATAGCTTATCATCCTCAAAACAATTTTATCTGCCCTTTACCTTTCGCTAAATATCTCAGTTGTTGGATGGAAATATACTTACAGGAGTAGATTGGGCAGAACGAGATCGGTAAAAGTGAGGCGCCTCATCGTAGCCACTATGGGTATCATGAGCTCTTGCGACAGATCGGCGAGCACCAGGTAAGGGTGTGAAATTGTGGGAATTTCTGTTCATGATTTCACGATTTCACTTGCCTCTTCATCATCGAGTTTACTTTGATACTTTCCTTATACCGGGAGATACTTGTAGCTTCTTTTCCTACTCGGATTTATGGCTGCATTTCTTTTAGCTGTCCCTGAGAATATATCCTTCATGATTTCGCCTTTTCCTCTGGTTGAAATCCTGTTTATTTTTATTCTTATCCAAAGCATGATTCTTCGCCGTGACTCTGCAATTAAGCGAATGCAATTAGGAAAGAATCAAATTCTTGAGTGGAGGTGGCTGTTTTAGCTTCAATACTTTCCAGACGCAGCGTAGACAAATATATGTGACTGGACCCCACTAAAACTATTCAAATCTCTGTAGCCACTTTAGCATTTGTGTGCATCATTATTTTTTTTTTGGTTACATGAGGGGCGGGATCGAACCCGCACATTACCAACACACGCACACGCTAGGTGCCACTCCGCCAAGAGGCGGTTGGCTGTGTGCATCATCATTCATACATCATATGCGATTAGAAGCGCGTGATCGAAAAGCCCTAAAGTGAAATTCCTTAACTTCTATCGCTGGAAACACTTAATCGCGGTTAGAAATTAATTTATTTTAGAATTGGAGTGAATTAAATTGTTGTAAAATATGACTACTGAAAATGCCTAAATATGAGTATGAAATTTCTAACCTCACTTAGTAATCAATTTATTTTAATTTTAAATGTTGGTAACTGAAAATATGATTAGTAAAAATGCCTAAGATGATTTATGTAATTGTGCGCTCAAACGTCAATTTTAAGTTTTTAACAATCAACAGTGGTAAATTTTTCTCTCCCCAAAAAATAAATCAATAGTGGTAGATGGCCAAAATAAATCAACAGTACTAATATGCTAAGATACTCATTTGTAAATTATAATTTATTTTCCATTTTTCTTCCTTATTAACCTTGGTCTAGATTGTCTAATAATAAATAAAGACTCTCAATATATGAAATTATGATTTGAGATTTTCAATTTAAAAATGGTAAATAAAAACCCGATTTCATATTATAAATATGAAATTTTTAAAAAATATCTGAAATGCTCCTGCGCCAAGTGACAAGTTGATTATGAAAAATAACAAGTTCACTTTAACAAATGACGACTACAGCAGACCAAATTACAACTTGGTTGAAGGTATGCCAGATGACAAGTTTATTTTAACGAATAACAACTTTAATAGATCAAATTACAACTTAGCCGAAAGACATTTCAGATATTTTATTAAGATTTTATATTTGTAATATGGGATTAGGTTTTTATTTGTTATTTTCTTAATTAAGGATTTCAAATTTTATTTTGCTGAGGGCTCGAAGCTACCCGCGGGCAAAAGCCTGCAGGCATATGAAAGAAAATACGCACTTGCGCAGTTTATTCAGTCAATGGTGACTTCGTTTTCGATCTTTCTCTATCTTCAATCAACGACGACTTTACCATCCAATAAGCAGCCATCGTCGTGAGCAAAGTTGAGCATCTCTGTTGTGTTTGGGAAGTGAGCTTCTTGCATTGTCGAAATGAATTATCCTAGCTTTCCGGGCAGTTCATCTTCTCGGAGGACCTGGAAATACGAAGTTTTTCTGAGTTTCAGAGGTGAGGATACTCGGAATAGTTTCGCTGGTCATCTTTTTTCTGCTCTTCAACGGAAAGGTATATTTACCTTCAAGGATGACAAAAGGCTCGAGAAAGGAGAACCCATTAAACCTGAGCTCCTCAAAGCAATTGAGCAATCCCGAATTTCTTTCGTCGTCTTTTCCCAAAACTATGCCGATTCATCATGGTGCTTGGACGAGCTGGCGAAGATATCTGAGGGAATTAGCGAACCAGGATACTTTATCGTACCAATTTTCTTCGATGTCGATCCATCTGATGTTCGAAGACAGAGTGGGAAATATAGAGAATTCTTTGATAAACATGAAAGAGACTTCTGTGATAATATAGATAAGGTTCAAAGATGGAGGATAGCGTTGACTCAAGTAGCCAGTCTTGCTGGTTATGATGTACGGGCTAAGTAAGTAATCTTCTCCTGTTCTTATTCTGATCTTATGTATAAAATATAAATCTGTAGTGTTCTATTCATTTTCCCTTGTCCTTGTTTCCTTAAGTGATGATTAGAGAGTTTTTCTCCTTTTCAGATCAGAGTCTGATGTCATTGATGAAATTGTTACTGATGCAATACGCAAATTGGGTCATAGATTCTCAAGTCTGGCTGATGATCTAGTTGGGATGCAATCTCGTGCAGAAGCATTTGAAAACCTTTTAGATTTAGAATCAGAAGATGTTCGAAAAGTAGGCATGTGGGGGATGCCTGGAGTAGGGAAGACTACTCTAGCTGCAGTTGTATACGATAGGATCTCTCACCGTTTTGATGCTTGCTGTCTTCTTCTTGATGTAAGTAAAGTTCACAAGGGTCCTGGACTTGTACGTCTGCAAAAACAACTCCTCCGTGAAACACTGCAGGAAGATATAGAGATATGGGAAGATCACAGGGGAACCAATTTAATAAGCACTAGGCTTCACCACCTTAAAACTCTTATTGTTGTTGACAATGTTGATCATGCTGATCAATTGGAGAAACTGGTTGGAAAGTCCTCATGGTTTGGGCCGGGAAGTAGGATCATCATAACAACTAGAGATTTGCACATCTTAACCAGGCATGGAGTGGATGAAGTTTATGAGGTTAAACTACTGAATGAAGATGAAGCTCTTCAACTTCTCTGTAGAAAAGCCTTCAAACAAGATGATCCCTTGAGTGACTTTAAAGCGATGACTCATAGTCTGCTACAATATGCTAAAGCCCTTCCACTGGTAATCAAAGTGTTAGGTTCCTTTATGTATGGGTTGGAAATATCAGAGTGGATTGCTCAGTTAGAAAGACTGAGAGAAAATCCTGACCAAGAGGTTATGGGAGTTCTTGAAACAAGTTTTGTTCGGCTTGAGAAGAAGGACAAGGATATATTTGTAGACATTGCTTGTTTCTTCAAGGGAGGAGACGAGAACTATGTGACAAAAATTCTAGAACATTGTGGATTCAATCCTAAAATTGGACTTAGGGTTCTCCGTGACAGATCACTTCTGAACATTGTTAATGGAACATTCTGGATGCACGATATGCTGCAAGAACTGGGATGGAAATTCGCAAGGGGAGAATTTCCTGATGAGCCAGCAAAGTGGAGTAGGCTGTGGTCATACAAAGATATTCAAACCGTAAAGACAGTAAGTTTTTCTTTTTTGGATGATTACTTTACTGAGGTTTTGTTTTCATATTCTTTCTTTCTTTAGCATACTAGCATTCCATATAATTCACGGAATCCAACGCATTGTGATGTGCTCGTGCTCAGGGAACGGAAAAAGTTGAAGCCATCGTCCTGAGCCCGGAAGATCTGCAAGAGACGCCATTGAAGGCTGAGGCTTTATCACAAATGAACCGCCTCAGATTAATCATATTCCCTGATAATGTGAAATTTTCAGGAAACCTCACTAGCCTGTCCAACGAGTTACGAGTTCTTTCATGGCATAAATTTCCTTTCAGCTCTTTGCCATCAGGTTTTGAACCAGATAAACTTGTCGAGCTGATCATGCCTGACAGCAACGTAAGACAACTATGGGAAGGCGAAAAGGTACAATATTGTTGTTTATGTTGTGTTAATAACAACCGAGAGATAGTGGACTAGGCTAACAAATGAATGATCGTTTTCTTTGTATGATATCTCTAATTTTAATGAACTACTTGAACTAAACTCCAATCTAACAGAGAATGGTCTGTTGTTGGGTAACGGTAGCTAGCTAATTGTTTTTGCTCCTTCGCAGAGATTGCCAAAGTTGAGAAACATGGATCTACGTGGCTCTAAAAGTCTGATCAAGACGCCAAATGTTAAAGGAGCAGAAAATGTTGAGAGGTTAGATCTTGAAGGATGTACTGGATTGTTGCAGGTCGATCCGTCTGTTGGAGATCTTAAAAAGATCACGTTCCTGAATTTGAGAAACTGTAATCATCTCATAAGCATCCCAAACACCTTATTTCTGTTAACTTCTCTTGAAATTCTGAACCTTTCGGGCTGCTCAAGACTTGCGAAATGGTTGAACTTCGAAGGACCTCGATAGAGCTGAACTCAGCAATCAAACACTCTCAATCTTTCAGTAAATTATCTTTGTCAGCTTTTTCCCACAAGAGTAGATGTCTTGTTACTTTGTTAGCTTGCGTTTGGCTCTGGGAGAGAAGGGGTTTGGAGCGGGGGGGGGGGGGGAGCTCTTCAACCGGAAAACGCTCACACGCGGCTTCCTCGATCATATTGGAGTTGGCGACTGGGGTGACAATGGCGGTGACCAAGTCGATGTGGCCACGCATGGTGCCTCAGAGAACAAGCCCTTCGGCCATTGCTGAGTTTCCTTCTCCCCTGAAAATTGCAATCTCTTGATGGTTTCATTTTCTGGGTGTTAGCATACAAAGCAGGATACAGCCATTGAGATTGTCTCTGGAGTACAAGGATTATGAACTAGTAATTCTGATCATCAGAAAATTAAGGGTAGAATCTGAGGAAGTGTCAGAGGGGGAAGATTGGAACGTGAAAATGGGAAAACAGGAGAATCTCTGGTTTATATAAGTATTGACAGAGATTGTTTCAGAGCCTAGATTTTGAAGCAGAACGTAATCACCAGAAAATGATGAAGAGAGCAAACTAAAGACTGAAGAGGGACAGCACATTTCAACTGAGAGGGGGAGCGAGAGTGAGCCATGTGGCATCAAAAGTGAGCCCCGTGCTGGAAGATGAGAGGTTTTTCTTGTACATGAATGTTCAACGCCGAACTAAAAACAGCCGCGCACAAGTTGGTCAACGTGAGATTTAACCGTCAACGGTTTTTGATGGGTGATTTTACCAATTATGCTCTACCAAAAATTTTCCGGATAAAACTCTCCTTTAACTCAAACATAATTAAATTTTTTTTTCTCAGTATGGTTATCTTCCTATTAAATACAGTTTTTAAGGTATTGTCGGATATTAAATATTTATCACTTATGTGGTTATGTCACGTATCAAGTTTCCTTATTATTAAAGAGAAAAAATTAATATCGCACACTAATATTTATTTTTTTCGAACAGAGAGATACCATACCATAGTCGAATTCGATTATTAAAACAAACTCAAAAAGTAAGCAGACCCATGTTTATTCCTTAACAACGAACAGATATGGTTGACAGTACATGACAAACTTATGAAAATATGAGACAAGAAGCTCAATAACTGAACACGTAGGCAAAGCAAACATATTAAACTCAATTATTGTTGCTATAGTTTTTGAAACAAAAAGTAAACCAACAATAGCTAACTATCACAAATTTAAAACTGACTTAAAGCTTAAGTGACAAGTCAAGGCCTGAAGTATAAAGATTATCGTCCTTCTCTTTCAAAGCTTTCTGTGGCAAAACCTTGATATGTTGATCACCAATTGTGCTATCGTAAGCAGCTGAAGAAGAAGAAATATGCTCGAATTGCCGAGTCAGAGGACTGATATTACCAATTTCTTCAATCCTCAAAGTTCCTGAACTGGCCCTAAGCCTTCCTGGGGTTTGATGATCACGCCTAAGTATAAAACTAGACTTCTGAGGCGACTTATGAATCATGGACTCCAATTTAACCCCAAGTGGTCTATTATTACAACTGAAAGACCCATAATTAATCTGAGGGTAATTAGCATAATAGGGGTAATTACTATAATGAGGAAAGTGTGGAGAATAGTGACGCCCTAGAACACTGAAATGATGGTCAGAGATAATCCCTACTTGTCGTTGTTTAGCGATTGCACGCTCTTGTTTGTGGGCATTTTGATGGCCTCCTAAGGCTTGTGAGGAAGAAAACTCTCTTTTGCAGAAGTTGCAGCAGAAAGTCTTCTGTGTTCTTTTATCATAATGATCAGGTTCATCGTGATGACAATGACGTTCATGATCTTTTCCTTTGTCGTTGTTGATGTCTATTTTAGATGAAGAACAACCTGCGATGTTCAATCCAAATTTGAACGTATCCAGTTTGATCTTCGGCTTATGAAGAGAGTCTTCATGAGTGATCTTCACGAAATATAAGTCAAGCAACATAGAAAAATCAGTTAATTATCAAGTAGTGGGCTTGTAAGTGTGATAAATGTAAGTTCGTAAAGCTTTGATTTTGCAATAACCAATGGATTTTATTCATTATTTTATATCAAACATAAAACAATTATTGCCTTTTCCTGAAGAGAAAATTAATATTTTTTTAATGTGAGAGAAAATTAATAATTAATTGTATTAACCTGGCTAAAAGAACATTGGAGAAAGTTTGGACTTTCTATATTTATACCTAAATTCTGTGCAGACATATATTAGTTTTATGTAATCAGAGAGAAATAGCACAGTTTGAAACCTCGACATAAAAAAGTGACTGAGAGACAAATAATAAAGGATAGGGTGTAAGCAGAGAAAATAATACAATACTTATCAGGTAACTCTTTTTTTCTTTTTCCCCAAGTGAAAAGGGAAAATATATAAATTAAAAAAAGAAACTGTACAAAGTCTACAAGAGCACTATCATCTAAGCTTCGGGATTCACAGTACTAAGGAGGTCCAGAGCGTAGATGGGGTGGCGCACAATGGTTTGGACAGAAAAAATTATATCTTCAGGGGAACTAGTTCCCTGTAAGAAAATATTTCTATTTCTATTGCTATTATCCCATAATTTCAAGGTTTCAAAAAGGAGACGCTTATGAGGCACCTCTTTAATTTATGTTTTTTTTTCCTGAATATATGATTAAAAATGATTTACCCTGATTTCGAAATAACGTTAGGATTTTATTCATTACATCTTTGAACTGTTAAACATTAAACTGTTAAAGCAACATTTAATCCCTTTGGTCATAGAGAATATATGGGTGTTTAGATGGAAACTAAACTATGATTTTAAAAATGATTTTACAGTATATGAAATTAATATATAGAGAAGTTTGTTTCGATTTACGAAAAAGTATTTTTAAAAAATATTTTTATGATTTTCCAAACAATCCCATAATCAAAACTCAAGTTTCTCTGCCGTAATCTTAAAAATAGTAGGACCAAAACAAACAAACAGACAGGAAAATCAAGTTTCTATATATAAATTCACTTATTACTTGAACCAACTTCATCTTCTGGTTTTCGATCACTTCTCTGATAGCTTTTCCTTTGGACCCTCCCGAGATGCTTGAACCTTCAGAGGGAGAAAGATCCCCACCATTTGCAGCCATGGAAAATCCGACAACACAACGCAAAAAAGAACACAATAATAAAATAAAAGAAATTAAAGAGCTTTCTGAATCTGAGAGATCGAGACTCAGATTAATCAAAAAAGAAGATAGAAGGGTGTTTATATATTCAATTAGAGACATCTATAGTTAATGCATCGTATCTTCATTAAATTGGAAAGAAATCTCGTTTTTGTTGTTATGATTCTCGTTATTACTGATCAATGATTGATCTGATAAGGAAGCTTCCTCTAATTTTATACACAAATTCCATAAATATCTATAACAAATTAATTTACTATTAATCACTGCCACGGTCAAATCTTCCATAAAGGAAGAACATTAAGGCGTGGTGTTAGTGCATCACACCTTTTATGTAGTTTGTATATGATTATTTCAACCTAGAAGTAAAATAGGAAATTAAACCATGAAATAATTACTTGTTTAAATTATTTGATATCTTCGAACTTATCCCCTTTAAGAGAAGAATTAACCCCGAAGAAAGAACTAGAGGGGATGAAATATATAATTTTGGCTTGATTTAAGGATTTATTTATTGAAATTAATTCAGTAGATATAGTTCGTGAGTTTAGTTTAGTTTAATCTCGTCGGAAAGACCTCCACCACCGTCCATCATTTATTAATTAACATGCCACCTCAAATATATTATTTCTTTGTCAAAGATATTTTATTTTTTGTATCATCCATATATCTAATGCTTTACACACACACACACTAGTATGTAATTGTCGCCTTGGCACCAAAAAAAAAGGGGGGGGTGATTGTTGCTTTGATATACACTTGTCACAATTATGACTAGATGAAGACTAAGCCAAGTATATTACTTTTACTTTTTATTATTTTATGATTAATAACCTCTTCATTTGAATAAATAGTGTGAGTATACGTATACAAGTATGTATATATGCGTACACATTGTATATTTAGAATATTTTCATATGTTTATGGTATAGAAGTTTTTTTTTTTAAAAAAATTATATTGTAATTCTAGATGCTAATATTATTATATATTGACTTTGTTTAATTACTAATCATTCATGCCAATTAAACATTAAAGACGAGCAATGGCCATTCAAGTATCAATCATAATTCTTTTAATTAGGAGGTATTTGGATAAAAACCAAATCATAGTTTTAACTTTTAAAAGTGTTTTTACGGTATACGAGGTAAATATGTAGAGGAGTTTATCTCGTTTTGCGGAAAAGTACTTCTGAAAAACACTTTTAGGTGCTTCCAAACACCCCATAATACTCTTTAATAATTCATACTCTTGTCCAATTTTGCCAATAGGTATCGATTACGTGTACTCAACTATTTTTCTGTCACTTTGTTTCTCTTTCTTCACTTTACGTACAGGCAAATAAGATAATTTTGAATTAGGAGAATCTCGTAAAAAGGAAGTTTGAAATTATCAAATCTCAAATAAGTTTTTTTTATGAAAGTGTATTTTTATCTGCAAGTCCAGTATTATCAGAACTTATTAAAATATTGTTACCAAATCAAATTTGAAATATTTTTTTAAGAATTATCCCTTCTGAATTTCTCATTAACCTTAACGAAGTCAGAATAAGAAATTTATAACTTGGATACCATTTTAGCTTAGAATCATCTCAAAAGCACATGAACAATAAGAAAGCCAAAGTGAAAGATATTCACCATGCACAACAATAAATCACCCGAAAGAGTAAAACTCAAAAGCATGAACCACACAAACTCAAGAGCCTCGGTTTTAGGTGGAACCCATAAATAAATCACCTGAGTAAATCACGTAGCTTCTCACAAAAACGGTCCATATGAGAAGACTCCGAATCGTTGCTTAGCAAGTAGCTTCTCAATTTTGCATGGTTTTCTCTGATCTCTTTCCCAGTCTCACTCTCATCATCCATCACAATCTTCACAGCCTTACACACACTTCCTCTCGAGAACAAACCATCTTCTTCCCCTCTTTCTACTTCAACCCCAACTTTCAATTCAGAGCTCATCATCCTCGAATTCATGATGTGATCTGGTAATGTTTGTGGAAGCAACACTAACTGACACTTGTTCACCAATCCCTCTGTTATAGACCCTGCCCCACAATGCGTTATGAAGCAACCTACACTTGAATGAGCTAAGATCACTTGTTGCTGAACCCATCCTCCGTAAATAATCCCTCTCTCTTTAACTCTTTCCTTGAATCCTTCTGGCATGGCTGCTTCAACGGACTCGAATCCACCTGGTGGCTTAAGTAGTGCTACCAAAAATGGTAACCCTGTCATCTCAAGACCAAGCAACAATTCTTGGAATTGGGCTGTCTGTAATATGCATTCGCTTCCAAATGCACAATAAACTACGGAATCCTCCTTGAATTGTTCGAGCCATCGAGCCCATTTTTCATCCGAACGAGACGTGGGTGGCTCTGGGACAACAGGGCCTGAAAGCAGAGCTGGCTTTCCATATTGGTTTGCAAGATAGTCCACAAAGGGTCCTTCAATTTCTGTGCTGCCTTTGAATGCTATAGCATCTGTTTGTGTCAGACCTTTATATAAACGGTCATGGAAGAAAATCCCATTTCCAAAATCCAAAGTTCTTCTCCAAGCAAAGATTTTTGCTTCATGGGGATGAAGCTTCATGGAAGATGAAGGGAATCCAGAAGGGGGTTTCATGAGATCCGCTTCGGTCAACTTACTTCCTTGAAGCAGCCTAGCTGGGGATGCATTATAACCTACAGTTGCGGGATTAATAATCAAGAATAGAACAGACTTGATGCCTAGTTTGCAAGCCAAGTTTGGAAGCCAATAAACGAAGTCAAAGAAGACAATTTGTGGCTTTAGCTGAAGGAGAAGTTCTTCAATTTGATTCTCAGTTCGATCCATGGCTGCCATGATAAGTCGAAAAAAGGGGGGAGGAACATCAGAAGTAGTTTCTGCATAATCAGGAAGACCATCACAGGGAGGCAGAGTGATGGGGTAGAAGGTTATGAGACGTGGGTAGAGATTAAATTGGTCTAACTTGGACCGCGTTTTTCTGGGGATGATGAAGGAAATTCTATGACCTCTCTTGGCTAATTTGTTGGAGAGCTGGATATATGGGATCAGGTGCCCCATAGCAAACCAAGGGAACACGGCTATGTGCAAGGGAGCTTCATCCATGGCTGTCTCTCACTAGTGAAAATTGCAGAACAGAACTCTATTTCTTTCCTGTGTGGTGACTGAAATGGATTCTTGCAGGGAAGTTAAGGGTGTGTTTGGATGACACCCCAAACCATGGTTTGGGGTGTCAATCACCCAAACACCCCCTCTAAAAATCAAAACCATGGTTTTGGAAAAAACAAAATTTTTTTGCTTTTGGAGGAAAAAGGGAGAGTGTGAGAGCCTATATGATATGTATTTGTTATTTTTTTTATAAACATATTTTTTGATAAACATATTTAATCTTATATTTTATATATATATACACATTAATTATTTATTAATTATATTATCTTATGTATTATTAATTATGTTGGTAAAAAATATTATTAACAATTTTATTCCTTCAAATTAAAATATATCATAAAATCTATTTTTTCTGTAATTATCATATTAAATTATGTCTTTTTTTTAGTAATTTGTATATATAAAAAGTGTTTCTGATAACAACTATCCAAACACTCCCACTTCTCAGAATCACTTTTTTACAAAATCTATTCTTCACAGAATCTATTCTTCAGAATCACTTTTCAAACCATGGTTTAGTTTCATCCAAACATACCCTTAGCTATGTTTGGATTACAGTTTAAACTACAAAACGCGTCTCGGAAAGTGTGCAACATGGGTTAGAGAGTTACTTGAATAAAAAAAAAAAAAGACTGTTTGGGACAGCGTCTTGTTCCATCTCACTGGAGTTTCAAAGTGACTTTTATTAAAATGCAACATTTTCTTGCTTTTGCCTTTAGGTGCGTCGTGGTGAGTGGGAACCACCAATTTTTTTTACCTTCGTGTCCCTATGTAGGCGGTCCTTGTGTCGGCCAACGCAATCTTTTTCCCCCCCTACCAACAACAGTAAGCAATACATTTATATTATTTATTATTCTTTTAATTTATATTGCTTAGGGTTTAGATTTTAATAAATATAATAATATTATATAATTAAATTTAGTTTTAAAAAAGTAAAATTGTAAAACCCAATGATAAATATTTTAATAATATTATTTAAATAGATTAAAAAAGCTAAATAAATTACTTAATTATATTATATGTAACATGATTTTTTTTAAAATACTTATATATATATCCTTAATATTTTTAAATTAAATAATTAAGCTTTATATAAATTTTTGTGCAGTGTGCATGTGCTAAAGATATTGCATAAAATATTTATATATTTTTTGTGGCTCACAATCTCACATCTTGTGAATGATCCTCCAACATCAGAATTTTAGACCCTCGCTGTTACGGGAAGGGAAGCGACTTGATCGCGCGGTTTCTGCCCTCTACTGTTCATCACTAGACGCATAGAATGAATAAAAGTTCTGCATAAAAATTCACACGCATATATGGCTTGATATAATTTTTAATTTTTTAAATTTGTCTTCGTTTTTGTTTTAATTCTTCAAGCTTTAAATTATAGGTTTTAGTTCTTTAAAAAAAATAATCTAAATTTTTATTGAATTATAGAGATTAATATTTTAAGGGACTAAAAATAAAAATAAACTTAAAGACCAAATATTATATTAAACCTATATATATTACCTGAGCCATCTTCATCCTCTGGTTTTCGATCACGGGGTCCTCTTGATATGCTTGAGCCTTCAAAGATCTTACCACCATTTGCAGCCGTGGAAAATGCCACTAGACGAATCTAAAAACAACACACTAGGAAATAACCACAAAAATAAAAATTTCTTTTGAACCTTTGAGAGTCAAACTTCATGTGCTTCTTCAGTACTCGTTACAGTGATGAGTAGTATATGTTTATTACTGGACTAAAATTTGAATCATGCAAAATTTAATTTGAATGGTTCAAATTCAAAATTTTTAGTCTGCAAGTTTTTCAGTGACAAATTTATTTTTTTAAAAAAACTGTTAGTTACAAAATTGTTTTATTTTAAATTATGTATTTGTTATAATAAAAATTATTTAAAACATAAAAAAATTAAATTAAATTAAAAACATTAAAAAATGATGAATATGGAATTTGTTGCGCCAGACTCATGAATCAAGAAGACGATGGCATGGTGTTCAACTTTTTGTAACTTCAAGGGGAGAGGTGCAGTTATGGGCAAGGAGTGTCTCCACTTTTTTTGGTCTTTTTTTTTTCATTCATTTCTCATCTCAACAATAAAATTAAAATTTTAACGATTCAGTTTTTATATTTATAAAATTATAAATAAAATATTAAATTTTAAAAAATAAAATAAAATAATTAAATTTTAGTAGGATCATTCAAAACAATACTAAAAATATTTTATAAAGTTATTTTCTAAAACATAAAATTTAAACCGTTAAACTTTTAGTCTTAATGTATCTTCATTGAATTGGAAAGAAATCTCCAATGCTGTTATGATGATTCTCCTTATTACTAATCAATGCATGTGATTGATTCCTCTAATTTAAGCATAAATCCTATTTATAATTATTTATAAATAAATAATTTGCCACCACTTATCCCCACGGTCAAATCTTTCATAAATAATTTACTTGTTTAAATAAATTAAATATTTGATCGTATGTTTGAACTTAGCGTCTTCAGTGGAAGAATTAACCTTTTGAGATAAGAACTATAGAGGGGATAAAATATATAATTGAAAAAATCACTATAATTTTTTATTGAAAAACAAATGTAATCACTAAAAAAAATATTCTTGTAATAATTATTCTCATAATTATGTCCCCTGATCCCAGCACTTAATAATTCCAAAACCTGAAAAGTTCACTTCCCCTCATGCTCTCTCTGATCTTTATTCTATACTTTCATCCAAATAAACAATTTTGCTATTACTTACTGATGATGTCTACTGACTTCTGTTTTGGAAAACCACCTTAAAAATATACTTAAATAGTCCAAGTTAGTTTTTATTTGAGCCATTACATTTATTAAATTCCTAATTAAGTTATATGACCCAGAAAAAAATTTTAAAATTCTATAATATGACTCTAATGTCCTTATAATAAGAAACCGGGAGAAATGAGAATTTTCCATCATTTTCAAATTATTGATTTAGAATTAAAACGTATTAACCGCGTAATCAAACTTTTTAATTTTCAAAGTTATATTGTGATTATTTTTTATTCAAAACTTATTGCAAGTATGTTTTAGAGAAAGAAAATTGTTAATCTAGAATTAACATGTTAATTATTAAATGTAACATATTCTTTTTTAAGGTTGTATTATGATAAAATTTTATTCAAAAGCTTTTATAAGTGTTATGAGAACATAAAACTGTTAATTTAGTGTTGAAATGTGTTAACTATATAATTGAATTTATTAATTTTCAAAATTACATTGTGATCAAGTTTTATCTAAATACTTATTGTAAATATGTTATGAAGACAAAAAAATTATTAATTTAGAATTAAAATGTGTTAACTGTGAAATAAAATATGTTGATTTAGAATTCTCTTTTAATTTATCATGAAATAGGTATAAGAGTTATTTCATAAAATTTTAAAACCTTTCTTCTGGATGTCTGACCTGATTAAAGATTTGATAAATTTAATAACCTAAATAAAAATTTTTGAGTTACTCGTGTCTTTTTTAAGGAAATTTTCTTTCTGTTTTTCTCATCTCACTTTGTTTCTCCGCCTTCACCTGTGGGGTTTGGGAATGAATAAAAGTTAAGAGTTACACATAGACAAGGGTGTGGTGCTGACAACATCGGATCGAAACAATGAACATTCTACATTTCTCATAAATCTTATTGAAGTCAGAATAAGAAATCAATGTGTGATTGATAACTGCCTGGATGCCAATTAAGCTGATCCGAAGAGTAAAACTCAAAAGCATGAACCACATAAATTCGAAAGCGTAGGTTTGCCTGTAATATGCATTCGCTTCCAAGTGCACAATAAACCAGAGAATCGTCCTTGAACTGTCCGGGCTACTTAGCCCATTTTTCTTCTAAAACTGACGAGGGTGGCACTGGTATAAGAGGGCCTGAAAGCAGAGCAGGTTTTCCATATTGGTTTCCAAGATTAGTCCACAAAGGGTCCTTCAATTTTTGTGCTTCCTTTGAATGCTATAGCATCTGATTGGGTTAAGCCGTTACATATACAATTAGAAGAGAACCCCACTTCCGAATTCCCGTCTTCTATTCCAAGCTAAGATTTTTGCTTCATGGGGATGAAGCTTCATGGAAGAAGAAGGGAATCCAGAAGGGGGTTTCAGATCATGAGATCCGCTTCAGTCACCTCACTTCCCTGAAGCATCCTATCTTGGGATGCATTATAAGCTACAGTTGCACGATTAACTACCCAGTATTGAACAGACTTGATGCCAAGTATGCGAGCCAAGTCTGGAAGCCAATACGCGAAGTCAAAGAAGACAATTTGTGGCTTTAGCTGAAGGAGGAGTTGTTCAATGTGATTCTCAGTACGATCCATGGCCGTCATGAGTGGTGGAATCAAAGAGGGAGGAATATCAGTTGTTGTTTCTGCGTGATCGGGAAGGCCATCATAGGGAGGCACAGTGATGGGGATGAAGGTAATGAGATTTGGGCAGAGATTTAGTTGATCTAATTTGGATTGTGTTTTCCTGGGGATGATGAAGGAAATTCTATGGCCTCTATTGGCTAATTTGTTGGAGAGCTGGATATATGGGGTTAGGTGCCCTATAGCAAACCAAGGGAACATAGCTATGCCTATGTGCAGCGGAGATTCATCCATGGTTGTCCCTCACTTGTGAAAATCGCATATCTGAACTCTGTTTCTCTCAAGCCTTCTGTGCTGGTTACCTTCAATTATTGATGATTGCTATCTTTGTTTCGTGACAACCGTTCAGTTTGGCTTCACTTTCTTTTTCGTGCTGTTTCGTCGATTTTTTTTTTTAGATTAATATAGTTTTTTTATCTATAAAATTTGTTTTCATTTTAATTCCTCAAGGTTTAAATTATAGTTGTTATCCCTCACAAGACAAAATGGATTAATTTTTTATTAAATTATAAAGACTAATAATTTAAATAAAAAAATTTGAATGACCAAAATTTATAATTTAAAACTTTAGAAATCAAAACTAAAACCAAAAA